GGAGGAGACGAGGGAAGTGGAGGGGAGGAGGAAGGGGAGGGGGGAGTGAGGGGACGAGGGAAGGGAGGGGAGGAGGGGACGAGGGAAGGGAGGGAGGAGGACGAGGGAAGGGAGGGGATGGGAGGGACGAGGGAAGGGAGGGGAGTGAGGGGACGAGGGAAGGGGAGGGGAGGAGGGACGAGGGGGGAGGGGAGGAGGGATGAGGGAAGGGAGGGGAGTGAGGACGAGGGAAGGAGGGAAGGGAGGGAGTGAGGGAAGGGAGGGAGTGAGGGACGAGGGAAGGGAGGGAGTGAGGGACGAGGGAAGGGAGGGGAGTGAGGGACGAGGGAAGGGAGGGGATGGGAGGGACGATAGGAGAGAAGAGATGGAAGGAAGGGAGGAGAGGGAGGTAAAAAGGGAAATAAAGATAGAAGAAATATGATGAAGGAAATGGAGAGAGAGAGAGAGACGGGGGGAGCTTATGAGGGGAGTGGGGAGAAGTGGGTAACTCCCCTCACCCCGGCAACAGAGGGGAAATGAGGTGGAAACAAGATTTAATTTGGGAGGCGATTTTACTGAGTGTGTTCCTCACTTGTAGAGACGTGGGTGTTTAGTTAACGTGTGAGGGGAGGAGGTGGTGGAGAGAGGGGAGAGAGACATCCTATTCTCCCTTTCTCCCCCCGTCTCCCCTTACCCTGGATATCCCCGTAAACTTTCCTCCCCCTCTTGGCATTCCTCTCCCTCCTTCCTCCTCTTCTCCCTTTTCTCTCCCCATCTAAGTCTTTTGAACCCCATCTCCCCTACTTTACCTACCCCTTCCCACTTCCCTTTCCCCCTCCCCTTCCTAAAACCTCCTCCTTTTCATTCCCCTTCCATCCCCCTCCCCATCCAACCCATCTCCCCCTCCGTTTCCCTCACCCCTCTATCCTCCCCTCCCCCTCTCCATTGCTCTTCCTAGAACCAAGATTTTAAAAGATTCAAAAGTTTTTTATTTTTATTTTCCGTCGTAAATGAGAGACGGGGGAGGGGGGAGAGACGGGGGAGAGGGGGAGAGACGGGGGAGAGGGGGGGCATCTGTTTATGGTAGAGTCTCAGGCGAATTGCGGCGCCATCTTTGTCCAGTGAGGTGCATTCTCTTATCTCCAAGTGTCGGGAGGAGAAGGAGAAGAAGAATTTAACGTAAGAATCTTTACGTCAGGCAGTAAGATGTATCAGTAAGTGTGTCTTGGGTGACCCGGCCATTATCTCTCACATGTAGCACCCCGGGCCATCTAGCACCCCGGACCATCTCTCACCCCCATTTAGCACCCCAGACCATATTCTCCCACACTCATGTAGCGCCCAGACCCCCTGAACACAGAAGTGTTAGGAGATAAAATCGCAAAATTTTCCCCAAAAAAAAAACTCAAATTAAGACCCCACACCCTCCACCACTCTCCTCACCACCCCCCACCACCATCCCTACCCACCCTCTCCCCCCTACCCACCCACTCTTTCCTACACACAACCCCCCCCCTCCAGCATATAGCGCGGGTGGGGGGCGCTGGTGGGGGACGCGGGTGGGGTCGGCAGTCACTTCACACGGTAGTATTGACAAGGGAGCGGGGAAGAATAAAACGGTGATCCCCATTTGGGCGGCCACATCGACGCTAGATTGGACTGAGATAAATAATGGATGAGTGTAATGGACCAGAAGAGGTGGTGGTATGGTACACTGCTGGTATGTCTTGTTGCTGTGCTCCCTACCCTCCCTGTCTCCCTTGTCTGTCTTTTCTTCGTATCCTTCTTCCCTGCCTCTCTCTCTCTCTATCTCTCTTCTCCTACCCTACTTACCCTTTCCTTCCCTATCTCCCTACTCTCTACCTCTCTCTCCACACCCCCTGCTCCCTACTTCCTCCCCTCCCTGTCTGTCTCCTTCCTCTCCCCTGTCTTCACACAACACAGTGCTTGGTCCTCTCTCTCCACCAACCTTCCCTCCTCACTCCCCCTACCTCTCCTCTCCTCCCAATTTCAGAACTTTCACCCTAGTCTTCTCTACGCCCTTATCAGCCTACTCCTGCCTTCACCAATTTCTTCCTCGATTTGTAAGGAAGGAAATAAGGAAGAATAGAGGAAGATAACGGAAGGAAATAGGAAGACGTTGATTATCTTAATTTCCAGGAATATTTTGGAAAAGTCTAATAATTTTGACTGTATGTATGTATGTATGTGTGTATGTATGTATGTATGTATGTATGTATGTAATAATAATAATAATAATAATTGACGGTTTATTGAAAAAGTTCTGCAGCCCGAAGGCTGAAAATATACATTGGACATAAATGACTTATTACATACATTGGTGGTTTAACAAAAGCCTTCATTAGAGAAAGGTAAAGGAACATACAGTGAACATACAGATTAATGTAGATGTTGAACAGCAAACACGTAGTGTAGTAACTCCCTCCCAGATGGTGTTATGAGGGACCTCACGTGGTGTAGTAGTTCTCTCAGATGGTGTTATGAGGGACCTGACGTGGTGTAGTAATTTCCTCGCAGATGGTGTCATGAGGGACCACGTGGTGTAGTAATTCCCTCACAGATGGTGTTATGGGGGACCTCACGTGGTGTAATTACCTCACAGATGGTGTTATGAGGGTCCTCACGTGGTGTAGTAATTCCCTCACAGATGGTGCTATTAGGGACCTGACGTGGTGTAGTAATTCCCTCACAGATGGTGTTATGAGGGGCCTCACGTGGTGTAGTAATTCCCTCACAGATGAAAAGCAGGAGGGTCCTAATGTGGTGTAGTAACTCTTCACATATGGTGTTATGAGGGGCTCTCACGTGTGTAGTAATTCCCCACAGATGGTGTTATGAGGGCCCTCATGTGGTCTAGTAATTCCCTCACAGATGGTGTTATGAGGGGCTTCACGTGGTGTAGTAATTCCCTCACAGATGGTGTTATGAGGGGCCTCACATGGCGTAGTAATTCCCTCACAGATGGTGTTATGAGGGGCCTCACGTGGTGTAGTAATTCCCTCACAGATGGTGTTATGAGGGGCCTCACGTGGTGTAGTAACTCCTTCACATATGGTGTTATGAGGGGCCTCACGTGGTGTAGTAATTCCCTCACAGATGGTGTTATATGAGTGAAGTGTGGTTCCAGGCCTTCCTATCGTAGACGGATTAACACATCGCTGGTTGTTGGGTCTCACGGGCCGTTATCACTGGGTACCTGGGACCTCACTGTGTGAAGGTTAACTTGGGTACTACTGTTACTGTTGAGTTGTTCTCACTGACTTAAACACTGTTCACCACTGTTCACCTCTGTTTAACACTGGTTCCATTCCTTTCCTAAATGAAATTGTAACTTCTGGCGAGAACTTGTTGATATTCCTGTGGGGAGGAGGGTTCAGGGGAGGGAGTTAGTATGGGCCAACTTAACAGTTGACCTGGCTGCTCCGAGAGGAGCGCCAGGTACGTCTTGACCCCTCGGTGGTATGTATGTATGTATGTATGTATGTATGTATGTATGTATGGATGTATGTGTGTGTGTGTGTGTACCGGCCATTTTTAATATCCCATAAGTAATAAAAAAAACTATATCTAAATTAACAAATATCAATCCAGTCTCTGTCCTTAACTATCGTCTCTATTATTCTATTGTTCTTGCCTGATGAGCTAAGTCACAGCATAACACACTCTCTCTCTCTCTCTCTCTCTCTCCCTCTCTCTCCCTCCCCCCCTCTCTCTCTCCCTCACACCGTACCATAAGTCACCGTTACTGGCCTCACTACACTCCGTAATATCTATTGACCAACTCACACTCATAAACCTCTTCTCTCTCTTTGCTTTTTATTTTATTTCCGTTTTTTGTTTACACCAATGTCTGGGTGTGTGTGTGTGTGTACTATGTGTGTGTGTGTCTGGGTGTGTGTGTGTGTGTGTACTATGTGTGTGTGTGTCTGGGTGTGTGTGTCTGGGTGTGTGTGTGTGTGTAGAGACCTGTGGTGTAATGGTCAGCATGCTCGCCTCACAAGCGGAAGGACCAGGGTTCGATCCCCGGGCAGGGTGAAACTATGGGCAAGTTTCTTTACGCCATTTGCCTCTGTCTACCCAGCAGTAATTGGGAACCTGGATGTTAATCGTGATCCGGGGTAATAGTTAGCCAGTGCAGTTGGTGAGTTGTCCGGTGTTCTCGGACTATTCCTTGACACAGGGACGGTTACACGAGGGGCAACCATTATTATATTATTTATTATGTGTGTGTGTGTGTCGGCGTGGGTGGTAGGTGATGTGTTTATTGTAGTAGTAGTAGTGGTAGACATGGTAGTAGTAGTAGTGGTAGACATGGTAGTAGTAGTAATTGGTAGACATGGTAGTAGTAGTAGTAGTAATAATTAGAATCCTTAGAACACTGAGCCCCCTCCTGCTACCCTCCTGCTTATACTATTACCCCCACTACCCCTCCACAAAACATCAGTATTGGTCACTTGTCGTCCGTGACGTCATTGTCAACAACCAGCTCATGCATCACTCCAACACAATTCTTTGATGTATTGGCAGAGCTGAGGGCCAGAGACTGGACATGGCCCATGGTGCCCCTAACCTCATCCAACCACGCCACTTCTTGCTACTCATTTACCCCCACCACCCCACATAAACTCAGTCCAAAAATATCAGTCGCCTCTGTGTTCCAATTTCTTAACAAAAACAAAAACAAAAAACTAGGAATATATTAAATTTACTTTTTTTGTTACTATCTGATTTATTACTTTTTTGTTTGTTGTTGCAGTTAATTAATTACTTGTTTGTTTGTAAGACGAATTGATTGATTAGTTTGTTTGTTTATTGTACCAGTGTGTATTAAACATGACTACACCTTAACCTAAGTCCATAGAATCGTGTATGTGACCTTAGACTCATATAAACGTGTATTAAACCTGATCTAAACCGCATTAAACCTGTCCTAAGACGTATAAAACCTGTATTAAACCTGCCCTGAGACGTATAAAACCTGTATTAAACGGTGACCTTACCTTAACTTGAGACTCGGTCATGCCAAGGGCGTACGCTAGCTTGGCTCTCTCAGGCCCCGCGAGGTACTTGGTCTGCTCGAAGGTCTTCTCCAGGGCGAAGATCTGCTGCCCGCTGAAGGTCGGCCGCGTGTGCTTCTTCTTGCCATCCTTGTCCATGCCCATCGACGGGATACCTGCTGGGGGAGGAACAACGTACGCTAAGTCGTCTTTATACTGTGGGGGGGTGATGGTGCAGGAGGAGTGAGGGAGGGAGAGGGCAGAGAGGGAGGGAGAGGATATGGTTATTTTGTAGGGAGGGAAGAAGGAGGAGAATGGAAGGGAGTAAGGAAAGAGAGAATGAGAGGAGGGAAGAAGAAAGAGGAGAAAGAAAAGGAAGGAATGAAAGTGAAAGAAGGGAAAGGGAGAGAGAACGATGAGGTGGGAGAGAGGGAGAGAGATTATAATAGGTTGGGAACACAGGGAGTATATCAAAACACTCTAGGGAGAATATACTGTACATCACAGTGAGTATATCAGAGCTCTAGGTAGTGGACTATACTAGAGCTCTGGGTATAACAAGGAGACACCACACTAACTATATTATAAGACTGAACGTAATCTTATAGTGAACAAAAATATGAACAAGATAAATATAACAAAATTAAACTTGAATATTAAAGGTTAAATCTGACTTACGTGGATTGATTATAAACTTGAGTGAGTGAGTGAGAGTCAAGAGTCAACGGAGCCAATAGTCTTAAAGGTCACTAGTCCGCCTTGTTTATGCTATGTCACAGCTTAATAATAACGACAATGATGGTCTTTTATTTCCTGGTGGTGGTGTGATGGTGTGGTGGTGTGGCTGGCTGCATGGTGTGGTGGTGTGGTGGTGTGGCTGGCTGCATGGTGTGGTGGTGTGGCTGGCTGCATGGTGTGGTGGTGTGGCTGGCTGCATGGTGTGGTGGTGTGGCTGGCTGCATGGTGTGGTGGCGTAGATGTTACTGACGTTTTCTTCGTTGTGGAGGAGGAGGAGGAAGGGAGAGAAAATGGTGAGAGAGACGTGGATGAGGGAGAAGGAGAAGAAGAGAATGTGTTTATGGCAGTCTTCATCTCCTAGTGTCGTCTGTGGTCATATTGTCTGTCTGTGGGGGTCTGTGGGTGTCTGTGGGGGTCTGTGGGTGTCTGTGGGTGTCTGTGGGGGTCTGTTGGAGGTCAGGAGACAGACAACACCGACACAGCCAGCATACAGTGTTCGTCAATGATAATACGTCGTCGTCAGTGGCCAGCAGGTGCACCCCGCCACTAGTAAGCGACACCTCCTGAACAACACGACCATTACCCCTGTCCCTGGACGCCGCCACTGCCACCCCGGGATTACTGACCTCCCTCCCAGGCGGCCGCAGATGTCCCCCTCCCCTTACCTTCAAGTCCTCAACTTCTCCAGGCGACCGAAGATGTTCATTTCACTCCCCCTTGATATCCCAAGTTTCTGCAGGGGGAAGCCTAAGCCCCCTGCCCTTATCTTGGAGACCCCCTCCTCCTGCGGGGGGGGGGGGGCAGATACTCCCGTCCCCTCCCTTACAGATCCCTGTTCCCTCCGCGGGGTCGCCGACGTCCCCTTCTCCTCTGAAGGGAGACGAGGCACCAGCAAGTGGTCGTTCCCTTCACCGACATAATTTTACGAGCGATAACCAGCGGCTTCCCGGCCTCCCGCCAAGGCCTCCTGCCCCGGCCTCCGACCCCGACCTCCCCCCGCCTCCCGCCCACTAAATACATTGGTCACAACAACCTCCCAACAAGAGAGGAGGAGGCACTGACGAGAGTGCGGGTGGTGGTACACGCGCGTGTGCCTCCCCAGCACGTGCAGGTCACGTGCAGGGAAGCCCTCAGCCCCTCGAGTAATGTACCAACTTCAGGGAGGTTTTGTGACGCCCTCGGCGGGATTTGGTGCTTGTTACCACACAACTGTTGCCACCACAAGTGTTATTATTATTACAACTCCATCACAACCAGTGGTGACCGCCGCAGGTTGTTCCCAGCGTCGCCTCGTTCACAGCCTCAGACTTGATAAACTGAGACACACGGAGGTCCTCCATTGGTCACACACCGAGACGGACGTAAGGTTCCCCCAAATGGTCTCTGGTGACAGTCCGCGGGTCACCTCTAACATGACCCTGTGATCAGCTCCACGAGGACTACTTGACCTTACTTACACCCCACACCCTGCACATCATTAAATCATCTGGCACTCCAAAGATCAACCAGCAGTCACCATTACACTAACACTGAGTGCCAGGATTTATCAACAGAAAACATTATAATCCCCAACGTCCATTCTCACCTGAGTTTCAAATTATTTCCCATGGCAGGACACATAGCAAAACAATTCTAATTGTTTATGTGAATAAATCAGATACCCCAGGATGGTGTCTGCCCATGTCTTACCTTAACATACTTGTCTTACCCATGTCTCACAAATACCTAAGCGACAGTTTCTACATTACTACAGTCTCTCCATGTAGTGTCCTAACATATAGCATCTCTTCCAATACCCTCAACACATCAATCTCACACACTTAAACAAACACACACCCAGCAATCTCACACTTCTAACAGTATCTCACCCCACCAACAGCCTCTCCACCTCCCCCAGCACTCCAACAGGCTCCTCCCCACCACCAACAGCCTCTCCACCTCCCCCAACAGCACTCCAACAGGCTCCTCCCCACCACCAACAGCCTCCACCCCCCACGCCTCAATTCCTCCCCATAACCAACAGCACCACCCCAGCCACTAACACATACACACACCAACAGCTTACCTCATGCAGCGCACTCAAACAGGGTCCTCAACCAACAGTTCTTCTAACACTATCACCAGCACACAAGGGAGGGGTGCTGGATGACAGGGCTGGATGCAGGGAGGTATGGTGCTGGATGCAGGAGGGAGGTGCTGGATGCAGGGGTGCTGGATGGGGAGGTGTGGTGCTGGATGTGGGAGGTGTGGTGCTGGATGAGAGGGGTGCTGGATGAGGGAGGGTGGTGCTGGATGCAGGAGGAGGGTGCTGGATGAGAGGAGTGCTGGATGACGGGAGGAGTGGTGCTGGATGAGAGGTGTGGATGCAGGGAGGGAGGTGGTGCTGGATGACGGGAGAGTGGTGCTGGATGACAGGGTGCTGGATGATGGGGAGGGTGCTGGATGACTGGAGGGAGGGTGCTGGATGACGGGTGCTGGGATGGTGGGGAGGGAGGGGTGCTGGATGAGAGGGTGTGGTGCAGGAGGGAGGGTGGATGACAGGGAG